CAACACTGCGCGTCTTGTTCCAGCTCTCATGCCGTGAACAAGTGTCTTTTACAGTCTATTCAGTGCCAGTTGCTTTCATGCTGCGCTTTTTGTTGGTGGCCTTGCCATGTAAAATGGCCCCAGGCATCGTGCTGAAGCGTGTGGAGTGTGCCTAAGTGCAAGAAGGCCTGGCGCACCTTGCTGAGAAAACGTCAGGCCTGAGTTGTAGTGCCGCTGCCCACGCGTTCAACGTGAACGAATCAACAACACTTACCAGATACGGGGACTTCGAGCAGAAACACTCATGCAACAAGTTAATATACAGGTCAGTGGGTGGAAATGTGACCAGGGGCTCACAGGAACCCTGCATACCGCTTGGGAGCAGTGGTTCGGGATGCAGTAATTCATTATTTCCAGGGACTTTACAGAACATAGTAAGAATTAACTACCAATTTAATCAAATTAAAAATCCAGGCATTCAGTCACATTAGCCACATTTAAAGGCCTCACTAGCCACAACGCTACAGCTACCTGGTTGAAGAGCAGAGGCAGAGCCTTCCCATCACTGCAGAAAGTGGCTCCTGAACACAGCTGCTTTGGAGAATTATTCTGGAGAACAGCGAAGGGCTCCCCTAGGGGACATTCTAGAGAGCAGCTCCTGAGCCTGGTCACAGGCAGCCTGTCCTAGAGCCAGCGCCCCGGGAACCGCCCCCAGCACGGTTCCTCTCCGGCTGCTTCCTGGGTCAAGTGTCGTCTCTCGCTGTGCGCTCCTGGGGGCGTCTCCCTGTGCCTTACCCCATGACCTGCCAGCAGTGGACACACAGGGGCTCTTGCTGCCAGGGACACCTAGGAGAACGGCAGGCAGGACCCTTCAAGAATCAGTGCCTCCACTACGGCAGCCAGTAAGCCGGCAAAAAAAAAAAGGGCAGAACCAACTTTTTTGGAACTTTAGATCCTATAGTAATCAGGGAAGTGCTTAATGAGGAAAGAGGCTGCGAAAATTTGGTGAGAATGTTGTGAAACTTTTGCTTACCTGCCTACTGCTCCTCTGCCCTCTTCCCAGCTCAGCAGTGGCCAGCTGCGGCAGCCGGTGCCAGGGGCAGGGGCAATGGGACCTTGCTCCGAAAAAGCTGTGGCTAGCTGTGGCTAGCGGTGACCTGAGGGGCCAGCACAGATGCTTCCCTTTGTTTTGTCCCGTCAGCTTGAGCAGCTTTCCAGGTCGAAAAGATGATGTATGAAAAAATGCTCCACATCACTAATCATCAGAGAAAGCAAATCAAAACCACAATGAGATATCACCTCATCCCAGTTAAAATGGCTTTTATCAAAAAGACAAAAAGTAACAAATAGTGAAGATGCAGAGAAAGGGGAACCTTTGCGCAGCCAGTGGGAATGTAAATCCATATGGCCACTGTGAAAACAGCATGGAGGTGCCCAAAAAAATTAAAAATAGAGGTGTGGTGGCTCATGCCTGTAATCCCAGCACTTTGGGAGACTGAGGCAGGAGGATAGCCTGAGGCCAGGAGTTCGAGACCAGCCTGGGCAACATAGCAAGACCCCATTTCTAAAAAGAAAAATTAAAAATAGAACTACTTATGATCCAGTAATCCCACTATTGGATATATGCCCAAAAGAAAGGAAATCAGTGCATTGAAGAGATATCTGCACTTCCATGTTATTGCAGCACTATTCATAACAGCCAAGATAAGGAATCAACCCGAGTGTCCATCAACAGATGAATAAAGAAAATATGGTACGTATACACAATGGAATGTTATTCAGCCATAAAAAAGAATGAAATCTGTCATTTGCAACAACATGGTTGGAACTGGAGGGCATTATGTTAAGTGAAAAAGCCAGGCACAGAACAATATATATTACATGTTTTCACTCATATGTGGGAGTTAAAAAAATTGATCTCTTAGAGACAGAGTAGGATGACGGTTACCAGAGGCTGGGAAGGGTGAGTGACTGAGGGCCATTGGTTAATGGGCACAAATGCACAGAAAGAAGGAATAAGATGTAGGGTTTGGTGACACAGTGGACAACTACAGTTAACAGTAACGATGTGTATTTCAAAACAACTCGAGGAATGGAATTGGAATGCTCCCAACACAAAGAAATGACAAATGTTCGAGGTGATGGATATCCCAATTGCCCTGATTTGCTCATTACACATTGTTTACTTGTAAAAATATATTACACGCACCCTGTAAATAACTACACTATTATGTATCCTTAACAATAAATAAATAAAAATAAAAAATAAAGGCATGTACAACCAGGGGGCACCAGGGCCCAGGAGGGCAGCTGGAGGACGCAGCCCCGCCAAGTGGCGGGGGACAGCCCCCGCTCAGAACCAACCTGCACAGTGCAGGAGAGGGTTTTTTTTTTTCCTTTTTGGTGCCTGGTATTTAAGGAAATCGCTGTTACATCACTGGCTCACCAGTGAAATAATGAAAGAGATTTCAGAAGCATACATGACAAAGAATACAGTCATAGGAAAAAGTTCAAAAAAGTCATTTAAAAAATAGACAATTGCAGCCATCAAGAAACAACTACAGCAAAGTCTGGGGAGGAAGAAGACAGTGATCTCCACACTTATTACTTTATAATATTCAAAATTCAAAATATATTATAATATTCAAAATAAAAACTAGCATTATCATATTTTTGGTTTGTAATTTCTGCTTTTGTTTACTATATGATTTAAAAGACAAATCCATGAATAATTATAAGGCCACATTAATGGGCACGCAATACACAAAAATGCAGTTTGTTACATGAGCAACATGAAGTGGGAGAACGGTGGAGCCCTACAGAAGCAGAGTTTTATATGCTACTGAAGCTAAGTTATAGCAATTCAAGCTATATCCTTAGAAATTCAGGCTGTTAATTATAATCACCAGGATAACCACCAAGGAAAAACTTAAAAACATACAGAAAAGGAAACAAGGAGGGAATTCTAGCAAAATCAATCAAACACCAAACAGTATTGGAGGAATTCAGGGAAAAAAGAGATGAGACACAGAAACAGTGACCTGACAGGAATAAGTGCTTCCTGGTCAGAAGTCACTTTAAATGTAAATGGATTTAACTCATCAATTAAAAGAGATTGGCAGAATGGATTTAAACCACATTCTAAAATTATGCCATCTGCAGGCGACTCACCGGCAGATGCTGAGACACAGTCTTTGTCCTGACACAGCTTATGACACATCTGTTTTTAGTCTGATAATACACTAAATGAATACTATAAGCAAGCAACCATTCAAGTCTTCTTTGTTAAGTTTAAATCTGAACCATCATGGATTATTCTGGGGTGGAAAAACAAACATTTCATATGCAACCTGCAAAGAATGTCAAAATCTGTTTATCATTAGTGAATATTACCATTCATATATTCGCAAAACTTTAAAAAATAGCTATACTGAATATATGACATATAAAACTAATAGAAATAAGCCCAGTAGTAGTACACAGTGCGTTTTAAATTTGTTATGTTTTACTAAAGCTTTGCCACCTCTCTGAGGCCTGTCTCCCTGTCCCCAGCACACGGCGCTGAGGAGCATGTGCCAGGCCACGGCGCCATAGCTCCCTGAGGTGTGTGGTCCGAGGCAAAGAAAATGGCTCAATCTCTTCTACTGGGAAAAACACTCTGCTTGCCTTTAAACTCTTACATTTCTGAAAACGTATGTGGCTTCTACTTTTTGAAAAAACATTAAAATGCCTAATGATTTAATAATATGCTTAATGAAAATATTCTTAATTTCATATTTCCTTATAATCAGTAAGAGGTGTCTTCTTGGCCGGGCGCGGTGGCTCACGCCTGTAATCCTAGCACTCTGGGAGGCCGAGGCGGGCGGATTGTTTGAGCTCAGGAGTTCGAGACCAGCCTGAGCAAGAGCGAGATCCCGTCTCTACTAAAAATAGAAAAAAATTAATCGGACAACTAAAAATATATAGAAAAAAGTTAGCTGGGCATGGTGGCGCATGCCTATAATCCCAGCTACTCGGTAGGCTGAGGCAGTAGGATCACTTGAGCCCAGGAGTTTGAGGTTGCTGTGAGCTAGGCTGACGCCACGGCACTCACTCTAGCCAAGGCCACAGAGTGAGACTCTGTCTCAAAAAAAAAAAAAAAAAAAAAGAGGTGTCTTCTTTTATTTCTTGCAAACATCCTTATTCAGCAAGAATCACAGGTTGAAGTTTGGCCACACATGGGTCAGACGTGCTGCCCGTAAGTATGTAGCGAGGACATTTTTTATCATCAAAGTAACTGCACGAAGGTCTTCTGGATGCTGTGCACAGTAATAATTTCTTTTTTTTTTTTTAAACAGTATCAAGAATAATCTTTATTAAGACCACAATTAGTGTTTTAAAAACATCCCAGAATCCAACGCGGGAAACAAGTGCTGGGGAATAAACATCGAAGCATAAGAGCAAACAGTGCCCTGGTGTGTGATGTTAAACTTTTCATTTGTTTCATTAAATCCATCTTTTCTCCAATTTAGGCAAAGGTTATATAGCAAAAGATGACATTTGTCACGAGTGGTTCATAAAATGGCAGTGGCTATGCTTCCGAATCTTGTTCACAGCGTCTTCCAGGCACATTACGTAATACTGAGACATCCTGGTTTGCTCCCTGGGAGGAAACCAGATGATGGTTCCAATGTTACAAGAGAAACAGACATGGAAACCTTGTCCTTGTGACTACCTCATAGATGTGTGACTTATTTATACGCTCAATGGGCTAAAGAGAAACAACAAATTATGTGTAATTGGAGAAAAAATAAATTCAGTTCTTTTCAGGCATAAATGTGTATCTAAAATTTCCTAGTAAACAAATAATACTTCTACTAATGTAAGTGAAGAATCTCCCATATTTCCAAATGATGGTGACTGGGTCTTATAATGAATTTTATATTTGATCTCTTTTTTGTAAATATGGTTGTGAAAACTGAGTTATACATTCTTCTTTTTAAAAATCCTCCCCTTAACACACACTTGTCAGACAATGTGGCACACTACGCACCACCACCAGGAAGATGCCTGAGAAGGCAGACGTGCCCTCCTCACTACCTCCCCCACTTTGTTTTACTTTGGGGATTTAACATCAGAATATAAACTCTTGGAAGGTCTTAATCTTTTCACAAAATACGATGGCTTTATGCTATAAATACATTAGTCCTTTGTCAAAGGTTATGTTCTTCCATCCTCATCTGTCACCAGCAGTCAGCATCTTCTTTACAGATCAGTCTTTTCTTCGTAACGACACCTGCACGCGGCTTGCTGACTGTCCAGGTAGGGTTTACAGCCTAAATGTATGACGCTGTCAAACAAGAGCTCCACTGTTCTCTCACATGCCTGAACGTGCTGGGCCAGTCCCAGTGTTTTCTGCACGTCCCGGCAGATCTTGGACAGGCAGTACTGGAACTCCTCATCACAGTCATTCTTGCTTTGGCCACAGGTCTCATAGCACCTGTCGTGTTGGTTGCAGCACTTTGTCAGGGAAGGGATCCCAATGTTAAGATGAACACCAAACAGTGGAGAGCCACAGCCATTCGGCGGGGAGGGTTTATAACCGTAACGTGGGAAAGGCTTGGATCCGTCGCTGCGCTTGTACTGGCAGAGCCCGTCCTCGCCTCCCAGGAGGTCCAAGGCGGCGTTCAGGTACGTGTCTATCTTGTGCACGCCGTTGCGGATGGTCTTCAGCGGGGCCCTCCAGTCCGTGCTCTGGGCCTGCTCCTGGCACCCGACGGCGGCGGCCAGCAGGGCCAGCAGGAGCCGGAGCGCGGCCGCGGGAGCCGGGCCATCCGCGCAGCGCCAGGGCACGCCGGGCTCCTCGAGCCCCCGAGCCGCGGCGGCGGGCGCGCCCCCACGGAGCCCCCGGGACGCCCTAGCAGCTGCGCGGGTCCCGGCGTGTGCGGCCGCCGCCGGCTCCACGCCCTCGCCTCCTTCCCAGCCCACGGCACCCCGCTGCCCTCACAGAGCCGCCTCCCGGCAGCAGCGCCCCTAACCCTGCGCCGCCGGAACGTGTCACGTCAGAGGCGCGGGGACCACAGTAATAATTTCTTTCTGTTGTACCCTCGTGAGCTATGATGGGCCTTTTGAGCAGCTTTGAGATTGAACCCATATATACAGTCAACTTGTAATAATCAACTTTTATTAATATGGAAAGCAGTCATTAAGAAACGGGTTTCCCATAATATAGGTGATCCAGTTAATGAGTACAACACAAATTATCAGGACTCAAGTGAAAATTATACCAAATTAGTTGTTGTAGAAAACAATATATTATAATTAACTCCCAAGTAGGCTCACTTTGGTTGTTTTTGTTATAGCAAAAATATTTACTAAATTGTGACTAGATTTTCGCATACATGATTACTTTTCTTTAAAGATAAAACATATTTGGTTCAATAGATGCTATTTGTTGCGATCATAAATGTTTATTTTCAATGCCATAATGCACTCAACTTATATTTATCAGAATAAACTTGGCAAGTAACATGATCTATTTTTGTAATACGAATATTTTGCTCTTGAAACTGTGTAAGAAAGCTACATGCTACTTTTGGCAAAAACTTTATCATTAAATATTCTTAAGATTATTATTTCTCAAAATCACAGAAGAGTTTCCAAATACAAGTGTTTGCAGGAAAAAAAACAAAAAACAAAAAGCTAAAAGGCAACCTGAAGGCAGTCCCTATGTGTGGAGGACGGGAGGAGGGCAGAGATCTGTGGGAAGAAGCCATTTCTGTATTCCACAATTTGGTCTTGCTGTTCCAGAATGCACGTTTTCCTTCAAATGAGGAACTCGTTGTCCAACAGAGACTTCCTTTGTGTTCCTAGGACTGAAATGCTTAGTGCTATCCCTGCCATACCTGGGGTTTCTGGAGTTACCCTGCATCTGGGATGCAAAGCACTTTTATCTTCCAGCTGTGGATCAGAGTAGCAAAAGTGAACGCTAAACACCACGGCTTTTACCCCCAAAATAAAGACTTTCTCTTCTACAGGGCAAATTTATCACAAAATGTCAAAACCAGAAGAGAATAAAGTGAAAGGAAAAAAACCTAGAAAAATATCCTGAAATAGCAAATGTAGTCATTTCTAAACATAATAAGCCATAATTATAGCTTTACCTGTTGTTCTTATGATTCCTATACTACTTATATAACATAACGTGACATCATGCCAACTACACTGCTGGCTTTACTCTCGCAAAACCTTGGCGATGACGTCCTCCGGAGTTATTTCCAATGTGCCGTCACCAGTGAGGATGTTCCAAAGATTGCCCATACTTACACCATTTATTGAGACAGCTGGTTTATCTTACAGCACTTGTAAACGCTTTGAAAGTTCATCATATGCTACATTTTTGATATAGAACTTGGATGAACCTGAATATATGATTTTCTATAACCCTAACCTAATCTTTGATTCAACCCATATTCATCATGATCTTCATTGAAACTCATGCTACAAAACTGTATCACTAAATAGATTTCTTCTCTTTAGTGCTTCAGGAAAAATCAGCTCACTGATTGCTGTCCATAAGTTTAGGGAGCTTCTTTAAACAGTTTAGTATCTGCTGACCCCACAGACCTCACATCCAGGGCTCCCATCCCTCCCAAGTCCTGCCAAGGATGTTGGGGTCTGTTGCCTGGTCAATCAGGCACCTCACTTGAGTCTCCTCCGAAAGTCCACTCTTTGGTTCTCGAGCACGAACATTGTGATCTTTGCTTCCTCGTGCCACAGCTATATAATCCCTGAAGGCAGGTGCCTTCTCGTGGCCCAGAAGTAACTCCTCACTGGAAAAAAGATGAAATAACCATGAAAACACAAACCACGCCTTATTTTTCCTCTGTTGCCTGAATTCCTAGCACTCCTATCGTAATACGCCCCCCACCCCCATCACTTACAGAGCATTTTCTGTGGCTCATAACCTCAAAGTCAAAGACTAGATGTGTAGGAAACAGAACATGAATAATGCTGCCGCTAACATTTGTTTACAAGTTTTGTGCGAATGTATGCCCTCCTTTGAAAAATTCCAGGTCAAATGGTAACTCCGTGTTTAGCTTTTTGAGAAACTGCCAGACTTTCCCATGGTGGCGGCACCAGTTTCCACTCCCACCAGCAGCCCGTGTGGTCCCAACTTCTCTATGCCCTCGCCAACATGTGGCACATCCCACTTTTTGATTACAGCTGTCCTAGTGGGTGTGAAGTGGTATCTCATTTGCATTTCCCTGATGACTACTGATGTTGGGCAATTTTTCATGTGCTTATTGGCCATTTCTATATTTTCATTAGAGAAATGTCTATTTAAATCCTTTGACCATTTTTAAATTGGGTTTTTTTTATTATTGAGTTATAAGGTTTTTTAATGTATTCGAGATACAAGTTCCTTATCAGTTACATGACTTGCAAATCTTTTGTCCAATTCTGTGGTTTGTGTCTTTACTTTCTGATAGCATCCTGTGAAGCACAAATGTTTTAAATTCTGATGAAGTCCAATTTATTTTTTCTTCCCTGTGCTTTTGTTATCATACCTATAAATGTCAATGTCACAGCCAAATCCAAGGTCGTGAAGATTTACCTCTAAATGGAGAGTTTTAGCTCTTATATTTAGGTCTTTAATCCATTTTGAATGAACTTTTGTACATGGTGTGGAATAAGGATCCAACTTCATTCTTTTGCCAGCGCCCTTTGTTGGAAAGATCATTGAGTGGTCTTGGCATCCTTGTCAAAAACAAGTTGACCACAGGTTGCCATTTACTATTACTTAATTCTAAAGTCCAACTTTTTTTCTTTCCATTGGAAAATCTCTATAACTTTCTATTTGCTTTTACACCTCAACAAGAAAAATTTAAATTAACCTAAAGGCCAACCCAATTTGGATTCTGATCTCAAAAGCCCACACTGTATTCTTCACACCTAGGTGCTGTGCCCATCAGGATCAAATGCCCTAAAAAGGACAAAAGCAAATCTAAACCCTAAATCTTCTCACGTATATAGCAAAATTCTGGCAACTGTCTAAGACTAGGACTCCCATTCCTCAGACAGGCCCTGCTGTTCGAGTGCTGAGGTTAAGCCTGAGCCCGTGCAGAGGGCCCGGCAGAGTGTAGGCTCCATGCCCAGCTCTGGGCACCAGCCTCTCCTAGCCCCGCTTTCCTGTCTGCATGGCGAGGACAGGCGCGAGTGCCATGGGCCAAACAGACAGTGCTCGGCACTTGGTACATATATCGGTGCTTCAAGAATCGGTAGCATATTGGTGGTCCACTTGTTTCTTTCCACAAATAACAATCTTACCAAGTAATAATGGCTGGATTGGCACCTGCTAACTTTCTCTTAGCATAACATATTTTCTGTCGGGGATACCAATTTTTTTCAGTTACATTTATTTCTCGAATCCATGATCCTCCTTTTTTCAGCATCTTTTGTTCTAAATTCTAAAAGAAAAGAAAACATGATTTTCTCTGTTTATTATAACAGTATATACAATCATATTCAAACAGATTAAAGCAAGTAATGATCTTAAAGTAAACAAATATCCACAACCAGCAACAGCTCACTAGCTTCCTGCGCAGACTCTAACGGCAGTGCCCATCCCGGCAACCACAACCTCAAGGGGCCTGGGCAAGGCCTGCAATGTCGGTTCCTGCAAAGGTAGCGCTGCAAGACAGTCTCTGGGGCTGTGTCATTGTGTCATGGATGGCCTCTGAGATCTAAGAAAGCACTGTCTACCTTTATGATCAAGGAAGACCTCACATGGAATAGTTTTTAAACTAAAAGTTGCACCAGAGGAAATCAGATCTACCATCACCAGTGGGTTCATAGTCCCTTTCCCAGTAAGAAATAACTCAACTGAAGCAACGATTTTCTCCAAATACAGGTTTGTTTGTTTCTTTATTTATTTTTAAGAGATGGGGTCTCACTCTGGCACCCAAGCTAGAAGGCAATGGTCTGATCATAGCTCACTACAAACTCAAATCCCTGGGCTCAGGGGATCCTCCTGCCTCAGTCTTCCAAGAAGCTGGGACCACAGGTGTGCACCACCATGCCTGGCTAATTTTTAAATTTTTTGTATAGATGGAGTCTTGCTATAATATATTGCCTAGGCTGGTCTTAAACGCCTGGCCTCAAGCAATCCTCCTATCTCAGCCTCCCAAAATGCTGGGATTACAGGTACAAGCCACTGTGCTCAGCCCAAATAAATGTTTTGTCTCTTCTCTGGTGTTCAGGCCATAAATGTTATTTTGAGAAATGCTGTTCAAAACCATGTAAATATTTCAGAAACATGATTTGATATACTTCCATCATATGAAAGGAAACACTGGATCAGTCCCTGGCACACTATAACGAAAGTGAAAAGTGCATGTAAAACAAAGCCTACTTTCCAGTCAAAGGAGGGCTCCTTCACAAACACATCCATGGTGTTGGCGAGCAGGTCGGGGTCCGAGCGAAAGGCTCTCAGCGCATGCACCATGACACTGTACAGAAGACCCGTTTCCGTCATGGGTAACATCAGATTGATAAACTGGCGAGTTAGACGAAAAGGCATCAACTCAGGGACCGGCAGCTAAACAAAAGGAAAAAACCATGCAAAAAAGTCGAAATCTCAAAGTAAGAGGCACAAATGCAACATCCTCTCGTAGTGATTATTCATGTTTACTAAGAATACAGACTCTGCTTTTCTTGAAGTCAGCTACACAGATGTGAATTCCCGTGTTTAGGAGCGAGTGATTAATCACCTCAGCTTGCATCATCCTCTCAATGCAAAACCCACATGTGCAGGCCCACAGAGCCTGCAGAGATTTAGCAGTACGATCCAAAATGGCCAGAGGTTCATGTCAGAGAAAAGATTTTTATCACATTTTGTGCAAGACATTTTGATTTTGGGGCTTCATAAAACTTCCTTAGAGCCCTTTTATATAGGAACCCATTTTACTCCTGGCTCTGATTATATGATTTATCACCACCTAAGTCTGAACAAGGCCACAACAGGTGGACCTTATGGCTTTCTACATGAATGTCACATTTAACAACCACAACAAAACCAGCCTAACTGATGTGTCATTTCTTCTTTAAAAACTATCTATTTCTAGAGGGTGCTATAAAGTCACAGGACAATTGTAGACTACCCTGAACAGTAACAGTAAGGCAAGCACACCTGGGTAGCCGATCCGAATGCATGTCCAAAGTCGATTCCAATCATGCCGCCAGTCTCCAGGGACACCATGAAGTTGTTCAGGTGTCTGTCTCCAATCCCCAGGATCCAGTGGCTGACACACATCAGAGCGTGCGAACTAGCGAAGTGGGAGCGGAGTGCCAGGAAGGCTTCGGGGCCCGCGCTCATCCTCACAAAGGCCCGCCTGGAAGAAAGACACTGTCTGTGGTCTCTGCCGGGCCACTGCTTGGTTGTGAAGTAGAAGTATACTTACTTTAAGAGATCAGCTGGCACCTTACTTTCTCTTTTTCTAAAAGATGTGACTGTTTCAGTACGATTGGCTCTCCTATGATTTAATAATAGGAAACGTCTCATTAGAACAAATTTCTCGTGACTTCAAATTTTAAAACTCTTTGTTTATACTGAAGCTCAAATATCAAATCACTAGATTTTGATGATCTCTCTGAGGCAGAACTTTCTAAGAATCAAAAATAAACATGCAACCTTAAGAAGAATGAACTAGTTAATACAAGGGAAAATCAAAACAAAACTTACTTATACATTTCCATGTAAGCTCTAATACCGCATCCTTCTGACATTTTTGTTAGCCAGTCTTTATATTCATACAGTGGTCCTTTGGGATGACTAACAAGCAGGAAAAAGGAAATTCACATTAGGAAGATATTCAGCATTATATGATTTCAGAGGCAAAGATCACCAAGGATTCATTGAAAAATAGTGAAGATGCAGGAAAAAATAATACGACTTTTGATTACATTTAACATTAACACTAAACCCATGTTACTCTGGATCTAGAATTTCAATATACCAGTATTCATTCTTAATTACTCCTACAGAAACTCAAGCTATTTCCTACACAAAAATTCAAACAAAACAATCAGATACAATAAATTTCCCAATTCACATAGACAGGAACAAGATGAGCTAAACATCAGGGTTTATTAGCCAGGCACGTGACTCCTACATTCTGACCCAGAAAGAGCCAGAGTGTAGGGCAGGCAGGAGAGGCTGGGCGTGTCGCTACTGCAGACAGAAAGCCCCTGCAGTATTTGTGGAAGACAAATTAAGTCTGTTTTTATCCTTATTTATACCACTGCTACCCCTTTTTTCCCCATTTTGTAAACAGATACCCACAAAACCCATAGTAAATATGGCAGAGTATTTTCTTAAATGACAAGGTGCTTAGATGGAACTTGAAAAGCTGTTTAATAATGTTGCACGGGAAAAGGCAGTATCTGGGGGGGGGGGGGCAATGTGAGATATGTATGTTTAGGTACTTTTGGGTTTTTGCCAAAACCTTTTAACAAATTTTCTCCCAAAAATCTAAAGGTAGAGCAATTTCGCAACATGTGACTTAGCAATTATGTAAGGTGAATCTGTTCTGAGTTGCTATTGATTTCACAAATAGGCCACTCCATTGTAATCAAAATTCTCTTCTAGTTTAAAATGAGATGAAAATTCTTTGCTTTCTTTTTTTCTTTTTGAGATGAAGATTCTTAGGTTGTAAAACTGCAACATGCTAAATTAAGAAAAAAATAGCAATGATTTTAGTAACAGGGGTTTGGAAGTGCCTTGTTTTAAAAAGGTAGTTTTAAGTTATTAGGTTAAGTATGAAATGTCCGATTTCCTTAAATACCGAGTTTGTTGGTATTTCTGACATTTCACTTTGACACTTCTTGTTTTATTTTTATTGTGACGGTATATTCTTAGATTTTCAACTGTGTGGTTTGCCTTGTGATTATCTTTCAAAGTTTTTTAAAGCAATTTTTGTGAAACCATGGATAAGTAAAAAATTCATGTTATTTTTGAATATGAGTTCCATCGTGGAACCAATGCAGCACAGACAGCTCGAAATATCAAGGAAGTCTTTGGGAAGGATGTGGCTAATGAACACACACTATGACCATGGTTTGAGAAGTTCCATTCTGGTAAGTTTCATCTTGAAAATGAGCCACGTGGGCAACCTGAGACCAAGGTGGACAATGATGAGCTGAAAGCTGTAGTGGAAGTGGATCCATCTCAACCTACGCATGAATTAGTCCCACGGTTTGACGTTACTATTCCAACAATATTGGACCATTTGAAACAAATGGGCAGGTAAAGAAGCTGGATGGATGGATTCCACATGAATTAAACGAGCATCAGAAGAGAAATCGTCTCGAAGCTTGCCTTTCTTTGCTGCGACGACATAAAGGTGAACCATTTCTTCACCGTATTGTGATGTGTGATGAAAAATGGATTCTTTTGATAATCGCAAGTGTTCGACACAATGGTTGGATAAAGGTGAAGTGCTGAAACACAGTCCAAATCCAAATATTCATCAAAAAAAGTTACTGGTGTCTGTTTGGTGGCCCAGCGCTGGTATTATCCACTACAGCTTCATGAAACCTGGTCAGTCAATTACAGCGGATGTCCACTGCAACCAGTTGGATGAAATGATGAGGATGCTTGTGATTAAGCAGCTGAGACTGGTCACTAGAGACAGGCCAATCCTCTTGCAAGACAACGCTAGACTACATGTCGCACAAACAACGCTGCTCAGACTACAGAAGCTGAACTTGGAAACTCTCTTGTCATCCACCGTATTCACCAGACCTTGCGCCAACTGACTACCACTTCTACCAGGCTTTGGACCCCTTCTTGTGAGGAAAAATATTCAATTCTCAACAAGCTGTGGAAAGCGCCTTTCAAGATTTCATCGCCATTTGCTCTCCAGGCTTCTTTGCTGCTGGCACAAACAGCCTACCGTTAAGATGGCAAAACCGTGTCGATAGTTTAGGCGCATACTTTGATTAATGGTACCGGTTCTTGTTTGAGATATAATAAACTACACTTTTGACTTGAAATCAAAAATTTCATATCTAATGACCTAATAATTTTTACACAACTCTGCTTTCAACTCTACCAATGCCTGTGATCACCTCACACGGTTCTGCGTCACCTCCCTGTCTCACAGATGGAGGCGCGGTGCATGGGAAATGCCACACTTGCTCAAAGCTCCCCCTGTGAGTCAGAACCTCAGCGCCAGGGCGAGATGTGGCATTTCTGATGCCAAGAGTGGTATTGATCAGTTTCCCTATCTTCCGGGGAAAGTAGAAACAATTCTAGACAAAGGACTCAAATGTCTGGAATTAAAAGTTGGTCAGCACTGCCCTGATTAGTAACTATTACCTGGCAATACAAGTTTGATAAGAATATGCTTAATTTTTTCAGAAATTTTTCCTGAGGAGAATATTGCTCCTATTTAAATACTTTTAGGAAAACATGAGAGCACAAGGCAGAGAAACAGGCCTTCCTGCTATTTCTAACCATTTCTTCTTCCTTCACCCTACAGCTCGTCACCAAACCCCATCAACTCGACCTTTTGAATGTCCCTCATTATGCTGCCCTTATTTTTCTTTACGGAAACAAAAAGCAAATAAAAATACTTCTGATTAAAAAATACACGTTCACTGTAGACAACTTGAAAAATAGAAGAAAGGATAAAGAAAAATAAAAAGCACCGTATCATGACCTAGAACTAATCACTAGTCTCAACTACACCACGTACAGGCTGGGGCACGTAGGATGAGTTATTTGACCTGTCTGGGCCTCTGCTTCCTCATTTGCACAGAAGCGCTACTAGTACTTACCTTGCAGGTTGCTGTGAGAAGTAAATGAGTTCATTACATTAAGAACTGAGAACAGTGCCTAGCACACAGAAAACATTTAACTAAATGTTAGTTGCTAATTTTATTTAGTTCAAGTGTTTTCTCTTTTTTTCAAAGTTAATATATTTTTATTGTGATAAAATATCTGCAACTGCTGTTTAATATCCTCCACTCCATTTACTCATCCAGCCAGGGGCAGATTGAAGGGCGGGGGGTGGGGGCTGCTCGCATGGCCCTGCTGGGGGGTGGGGCACCTGGGCAGGAGCCCGTGGCGGGTGGGTGCAAGTGGGCCGTGCTGGAGAAGGAGCAGCCGGGCTTCACGTTACCTCACATAAGCTGCTTTCTCCTCCTGTGACATGCTATTCAAAAGGAGATCCTTCAAGGTAATAGTATTTTCAATCCATTCAATTAATCCTAACCTGAAAAGGAGAATAAAAAGTTTACAAACAAACCCAAAGCCGAACTGTTCTTACCTTGCTAGAAAAAAGTTCTGGTGGTGTATGTATACCAGGGAGTACTTCTCAGCCACAGAAACAATGGTGAACCACTTCATATTAACCTGAATGGAACTACAGCCCATTCTTCAAAGTGAAGTATCACAATAATGGAAAAACAAGCACCACATGTACTCACCATTACATTGGTACTAATCGATCAACACTAACGTGCACATATGGTAGTAACATTCACAGGGTGCCGGGCAGGTGGAGGAGGGAGGAAGGCATGGGTAAATCCACACCTAACAGATGCGATGCCTGCTGTCTGGGGCATGGGCACGCTTGTAGCTCTGACTCTGGCGGTGCAAAGGCAATTTATGTAACCAAAGCGCTTGTACCCCCGTAATGTCATGAAATAATAAAAGAAAAAAGGTTCTGCAGGATCAAAGCAAAATAGATTTCTTCATGTCTGTTCTCCCCTCACTTCCCCACGGGTTGGGGTGTTTGGCAGCTCTCTTAAGCACTCTGTCTTTGCAGGATCTACAGCCCTGGCTTGTCAAGTGACCTCCAAGCCCATCTCAGGACCCGGACCCGGCCGCACCTGGAGGTCATGGGCACAACGCGGTACGTCCTTAACTGCATGTCTCTCTGACTGCAGGCGGCATCTCGGGACAGGATGACATTCATGACCTGGAAGAGCTGCTCCAGGCGCTGGTCCTGCCGCAGGTCCTCACCGCCCTTCACCAGGAAGGGGTGCTCCCTCTCATCGTGGCCTCGGATGACAATGCGCTTTGGTTTTCTGATGGAGGCCATTACCTTTACCTTTAAAAATCAAGAAAACATTTCAGGTGCAGTCTGAGACTAGCCCACCCTGTCATTGTCAAGACGAGAAAAGTAAGGCTGGTTGTGTGTATTCCTCAGAGACCTCTCCCTGAAGACAGAGTCAGCTAACAGAGAAGAACAGAGAACCAGGCCAGCAGACTCCAGGGCCAGAAAAATATTTCTGTTACCTGCTCATGCCTGACTGCTGTGCCCACAGCAATTCTATACTCCTGGTCATAAATAATTGCTTACAAATGTGGACATCCTTAGCAACAAGCAATAGCCAACGTGCAAACTTTCTACAGTAAGTAAACTCTACACATATTTCATAATGGATACTCACAACTTCCTCTTTGAGTTTATTACATCCTTAAAAGTGATTGTTGTTGAAATTCTGGAGATACTATATTAAGAAATTCGGTGAACTGGCCACACATGGTGGCTCACGCCTATAACCCTAGCACTCCGGGAGGCCGAGGCGGGAGGATCGCTTGAGCTCAGGAGTTCAAGACCAGCCTGAGCAAGAGCAAGACCCCATATCTACTAAAAATAGAAAAAAATAGCTGGAAATTAAAAGAAAAATTAAAAAAAAAAAAAAAGAAATTCAGCAAATAATAGAATCAGAAAATTCCATACATTTGAAGTCAACGTGGGAAGTTTACTGTCCCTTCTTAGTAAGGACGAACAGATCATTCTATCTGCAGAACCACACCCTGCACGCTAACAGTCCCCACGGCAGTGACGGATCCAAAGCCCTCACACCTACCCTCTCGTCAAACCCAGCGATGCGAGCGTGGTACTCGGGCAACGGCTTGCCTCTGCCATCATACTGACCTGAAACAAACCAGAGACTCGCTCACATGCATCCTGTCAGACAGACCCTGTATTTTAAAATGTCTGTTGATCTAATTAAGAACTAAGCTAAAATGGTAATGGTTTTTATCGAAAATTTTCATTTAAAGGAAATGGACTTACAGTTCTTTTTAATGTTAGTATTTCTCAGTTTTACTGAATGGAAGTTAGCTTCCTATTCTAATAGTGGAGATAAATTCCAAATAGAAAAAATAACATGCCGACTAGAACACTGCATTATCTCCAGGCAAATCAAGCTGCACATTAGGAGTCTTACATTTAAACACTTTTCTTGAAACTGTACGCAATTGCATAGCTGTTAATAATAACAAAGAAAAGTGTTTCTCCAAATATACTTTTTCTTATATCTACTAGAATGAATACGAGAATAACCAGATTAAAGTACTTTTCCCTCTGGCAAATTCCAGGGTGAGAACATGGAATTTACATAGATTTCCTCTGGAAAACCATGCTCTGTTCACATCTGACCAACATGCTGTGCGTCTCTATCCTCAACATCACGATCCTTTTTCCTGCTGGTAAGTCATTTATCAGTCATTCATCCCTTTAAATGGTACCAAGGTGTACATCCCAGGAAGTGAGCTGCATCTACACCTGTATTATATTTCCGAAAAAAAGTTTTCAAGAGCAAAGCATGAGTATGTTCAGAGGAAACCTATGATTACGGGTTATCACTGTTACTAAATGGAAATCTTAACACCTGTCATAATCAGGAATGTAAGAAAAGTACAATCTCATTGGACACTTAGTAAAATGTACTAATTCATAGTAATCATGAATTTTCCCAATGATCAAAAATACGGTGAAACTTGAAATTCTTTTTAAAAAAAAGAGATAACTTTTAAAATTGTTTAAAAAACGAGATAACAATATCACTATTTCAGAAAGCAAGTGTTCTTGCCACAGTACTGCTCCCCTTAAAGAACGGTTCTGTCTTCCTGGAGCTTAGCTCACCAGGAATCTCCAGCTCCTCTCTCAGGAAGTCCACTTGGAAGTTGCTCATCCAAGGCGAGCATTCCCTCAGGTTCCCAGGCGGCTTTGAGTCTTTGTTCATTTTACAAAGCAGCGAGTTAGTAATGTCATTGAAGTCACTGAGCTTCATTTTTGGTAGCTTAGAACCTCCTTTCCCAAAGCGTTGATCAAATTCTTTTCCGAAGGCCTGAGATTAATAACAATTTACTGTAAAGATTAGCGTGTAGTTTGAACTTTGTGAAAGGCCCTAAGCTTATGAATATTTGTAATAAACACGTGCCTAATTATATAGCTTTCTTCTGTGTTTTTGAGATTTATATAGTTTTGTGGATCGAGTATTTTAATACTCTAAAGCATCTGGCGCTGGTCTTTGTCTGCTTCTTGTTCCGTGACATGGTTTGTAGTGACTTCTAGTTATAAATTATAAGTTTTTAAAAACTTAGCAAAGTCATTTAACCTCTGTGTGCCCACTGTCCAGTTACTAGTGTACATCATTATGACGACACAGGCAATTAGGAACGAAGTTAAAAACAATAAAATAATAATAATAAATTGCCTCTAATTCTTCATACAAGCTGAGGAACATGATCTAAGAATACTGCTTTCCTTAAATAAGGGTCTTATAAGCCATTATTTTCCATCACAAACCAGTATAAACACTATTTAGATAATCTCTATTTCCAAAACAATTATTATTAAAAGTATTATACCTTGGAATACATCAATTCTTTCTTTGTATTAATATTAGCCCCTACTCGGATATTTATTTGAATTATAATCCTGATAGCCAATAAAAAATAAACAACAGTACTACTAGCAGTAACTCAATACTTAAGATTTACTTGATCATCTTTAATTACTATAGAAATGTTTTTTACCAAATTTAGAACTAATGCCACAACATAAATCTGGTATAAGTGAAATAGAGGCTCTATTTTAAGAAAATCTATTTAAGACAATAGGAAAACTGACATGCATAAAACAGATTTATTCTTTGATGTATGAATGGATTAAAAATATAGAAACAATCTGCAACTCTTAGAATACATGGAAAGATTAGCTATTTCCCAAACAGAACCAGCACCAGCATCGTATCTGAAGGGCATGATGCCCTTAAGGAGTCTCTAAAGTGAAATTTGAGGCAATTTGTTTTGGTAGAATATTATTTAAATTAATGCAAATTATTTGTTGATTGGTACCAGGTAGAAAGTTCTGGATAGATATTCCAAGGTACAAGAAATTAAATTCCAAGCACATCTCATGCCCGGAAGGAAGGGTGGCGGTACTTCTGCACTCTGCTGGGGTCCTGGGTAAGGGCTGGGTGTCGCTGTGCTCCACGGCAGCTGGGAAGAAGTGTGGTCTCCATGGGCAGATTTTTAGGGCAGTCTTATGGTGTCCAGCACGCAGGGAAAGGAAGCGGCCATGAATTCAAGGAATAACATTCAGTCTTTACTGGGGTCTGTGTAGAATTTTTCCACATGAGGACATCCTCAGACTGGCTGAGGAGACAGGGTGTGCTGGAGAGTGGAACAGGCCAGGAGGCTGCAGGACAAAGGGCTGCCGAAGCGACGCCCTTCTGCGGGGACGGCCTGGGCCCACTGAGCCAGCAGACCCGGGTCTAGCATCCACTCTGCCACCCTCCCCAGTGACACCAAGAGTCACACGCTCAGCTCTAGCTTCTGTTTGGAACAAGGTTTGGTAAACCACAGCCCTCGAGCTACTCTCAGCCCACTGTCTGTTTTTATCAAGAGGATTTTGCTGGACGCTGCCAGCCACATCCATGGCTCGTGCACAGTCTCGGGCCGCTTTCCTGCAGACACACGTTCTGGTGACAGTCTGTGAGCTGCAACGCCAAAACCTGGGCTTTCACAGAAAGAGTGTGCAGATCAGTGGCTTAGGAGAAAACACTTAAAAACTCTTCCAAATCCAATATTCTATAATTTTATAAATTACATTAACGTTGGCACATTAGTTTTAAGTAGAACTTATTCAGTTCATTTAACTACAGTAGGTATAGTTCCTGCTCTGAGATCCTTACGTACTCAGGGAGCAGCAGCACTGGCGCGATGTGGCACTTACTGTGTCATAAAGCAAAGTACAGAGGCCACGGTGCCACCTTCACTTGCAGGACATATCCCAGGTCACATTAGGCCACAGATAGTCCTGCATGTGTTGATATTCACACCTTTAACTAAAGCCACCCCAAGTAGGGAAGATCCACCAGAACTGGTCTCCACTTACCAAAAGTATCATTCATTCATCTAATTAAAGACACCTCTTTCATACCAAACAACATACTAGGTAGTGGAAAGACAAAGATGGACAAAACAAAACCTCTGTCTGCAAGTCTAATTCAGGAGGCAAAAAGAAAAGGAACAATTAAAGATCAAATGGCTTTCCACTCCTAAGGATGGGCCACAAGAGCTGAAAACACATCTCCCCACGAAGTCTGTGCGCAGATGTGCACAGCAGCACCATTTGTCAGAGCTAAAACGTGGAAGCGTCCCAGATGTCCATCAACTGATGGCAGGACAGATAAAATGTGGCACGCCCAGAGTGGAATAGTATTCAGCGATTAAAAAGGAATGAGGCACTGAGATGTGCCACGAGGTGGATGAACTTAGATAACACTCTCTAAGTGAAAGAAGCCAGTCACATATTACGTTATGTCATTTATATGAAATGTCCAAAACAGGCAAATCCTTAAAGACAGAAAGTAGTTTGTTGGCTGGCAGGGGCCGGTAATGGGGAGTAATTGCTGATGGGTGTGGACTTTCTTTTCCCGGTGATGAAAATGTTCTGAAGTTGATGTGTGATAGTTTCACAACTCTGTGAGTATACTAAAAACTACTGCATTGCATACTTTAAATAGATGAATTATGGGACATGTGACGTATCTTAATTTGAAAAACCATAAAGCGTAAAGGTCTTCCTTTGCACTATAGACTGTGGAACTTGAGAACTCTGTAAACATGGGTACAGGGACTATGCCCCTAAACTTCTTGAGGCTTAATGAATAAAGGTAGTTTGACCAAAATTGGGGGGAAAAAAAATCACTATGATGGAATGCTAAAAGAGACACATTCTAATGTAAGGTGCTCTAGGCAAGAAAGGAAGGAGCACCGACTTCTTTCCCAGGCCCTAGAGTGAAGGGGAGGAGGGTCAGGGAAGGCTCTAAAGGAGGAATGAGGTGATGCCAGTGCCGGAGGGCAGTGTCTAGACACGCAGGGAGAGAAGGAGCCCGCCGGGCGGGGAAGTCCCCAAGCGCCCAAGATCCCTCCAAACGACGCTGTGTCCTCCTCCGCCCAACTCCAGCACAACTCTGAGACAGACCTGACATTTATCACACTTGTCCTGTACCCCTCTCTGTAAGGGTCTGTTGTACAACCTCCCTGGGCTCGAGGAGTGGGTCTGTCTTCTCCAAGTGTCTCCTGAGCACCCTGGACTGTGCCCCAAACTGAGATGAGAAAATATTTATCAACTTACATAAGATATGATACAAACATTTTCTTGATCCAATATTCAAATCATTTAAAGAATTAAAAATACTAAACCACATGTTACCTTCAGATCTAAGAATCTGAGCAGGAAGAACAGAACGTAATGAAACCCTGAGGTTTCACCTGACCCTTGCTTATCAATGTTCACAGAAAGCATCAGATCTAAAGTCCTTTACAAATTCAATATTGTTAAACTAGGATTGTTAACAAATTGCCAAATGTAAATCCTGATCGTCACAGTGATTCTGCTGTCATAAAGGTAGGCACGTCCATCCATACCTGAATAAACTTCCTTCTGAAGGCCCCTAGGCCTGGAGCCCTCAGGTCGCCCAAGGCTGCAAACATTCTTTCATACATTTTCTCAATGTTTTTTTTATTTACAGGGGTTTGTGCTAGTTCAGCCTTCATATCATCAGTCCAGTCCTGTGCAGAATAAAAAAGAAAAAAATCAAGCTAGAATACTACTAAGTTTTACTCAAGTTCTATGTTTTATGTGCTAGAAACTGTTCTATTACCTTAAAGAGCAGTTCAGGATTAGAGAGCTGTTCTAGGGCATTAATAAAATCTTGAATCACTCCTCCTTGATCCAATTTACTTTTAATCCTATTAAAGGAATTACCAAGTTTAGGTAATCAAACATCTTCCAAAGGTCAAAGCCTATAATATATATTAAAATGTATATTTTATGTAACTATATGTAAGTATACAATTTATACATATTATATATAAATAATACCACCTATATAGTCCAAGGAAGGAGCAATTTAAAATTCCACCCATGTTAAATGAAGCATAAAGTATCTATTTCTATCAATAGGTGAGGTTCTTAGATAAGAGAAAAACAAATCTTGCAACTGATGTTGACATTTTCATGTGTACAATTTGATATATAGTTTCTGAAGTTATGCTATGAAAGATGTCACTTTCTTGATACACTTTCTTTAAAATCTTTTTCTCTTTTTTCATTTTTTAAAAACAACCCTGCTGCAGCTGACTGTGAGCGAGCACAATGGGCAGGGCCGTGGTGGCAGCAGGTGGCAGGTGCACAGCCGAGCCAACGACAAACCTCCACGGAAGCTGGGCCTTGCTCTTCCTTGTCTCCCCAAGACAAAACACTTGAAATAATGAGGCCAATCAGCTCCAGACCAAAAAAAGTCTTGACGTGATGCTCATTCGAAAACTGTCTCCGCTCATGAAGTAATTGATGAAGTGAACAGGGGAGCACTTCAGGCATCTACGGAGTCCTAATTAGGACGAGAGGTTGGCCGGGTGAAGTGGCTCACGCCTGTAATCCTAGCACTCTGGGAGGCCGAGGCAGGAGGGTTGTTTGAGCTCAGGAGTCGGAGACCAGCCTGAGTAAGAGCAAGACCCTGTCTCTACTGAAAATAGAAAAATTAGTTGGGTGTGGTGGTGCACACCTGTAGTCCCAGCTACTTGGGAGGCTGAGGCAGGAGGATCACTTGAGGTCAGGAGTTTGAGGTTGCCGTAAGCTAGGCTGACGCCACGGCACTTGAACTCTGGCAACAGAGCAAGACACTGTCTCAAAAAAAATAAAAAAATAAAAATAAATAAAAAGAGGGGTCTTTCTGTATATTTTGAATTAAAGGACAATTTAAGGAACTGATTTCAAAAAGCATCTCATCTAGTCTGTCTCAACCAACAGAGTAATGACTGTGAGCATAAGGGTAGGATATAGTGTGAGTAATATGGTAAGATGAAAAGTTATTTAAAAAGGAGATAAATTCTATAACAAGTAGCATACTCAGAGTTGATACATTCGATAAATAGATACTTAAGATTTTCTATTCTTCAATGACAGCTCTAATTAACTTGAAGACAAACAGAAACTTCCATGTGCTTGCTTTTCCACACACACGTTTTATAACCTACGGTATTTGATCAACTTTATTTTCCTGTAGTATCACCTTGCCACAAACTCCTTATTCTTATGACCAGCAGAAGTATCTCTGAAGGAATAGCTTTCACTGCTTATTATAAACGGGTACACAATCGCCTGTGGGTAGTTGTCAGCAATCTCTTCCACGGTGTGCTGGACGGCCACGGCCTCCTCTTTGTCCAGTAGGGCCACCATGTGGCTGATCCAGCCAATGAACTGCCAGCAAGGAACGGAAGCAATCTAAAACACAGAGAGCTGGAACTTAACAAGGAACAAAACATTCAATATAACATCATCTTATTATAAAAGTAACATGTCCAATATACAAAAAATCAGAAGTATAAAATAAAATGTCTTCTATCCCTCATCTCTCTTATGCTGAGGCAACCACGGGATTCTCCCAGACATTTTCCGTGCATGTGTATACATATCCTCTTTCTACAAGAATGGAATCATACAGACAGACTGTTCCTGATTTTTCTTAGATGTACAGATAGATTTCTTTTTTTTTTTTTTTTTT